CAAGGAAGAGGGGAGGGGGCAAACCCTAGGGCAGATGGGCCCTAAGGCCCACCCCAGGTGCGCCTCCCCTCTCTCCCCTTCTGGCCGCCACCCAGATGGCATCTGGGGTTGCCGCCACCCCTGGGGAGGGAACCCTAGAGGGGGCGCAGCCCCTCCCCTCCCCCTATAAATACATGAGGTTTGGGGGCTGCCCAACACACGAGTTTCTCCCCTTATTGGCGCAGCCCTACCTCTCTTACTCCTCCTCTCCCGCGGTGCTTGGCGAAGCCCTACAGGATTGCCACGCTCCTCCACCACCACCACGCCGTTGTGCTGCTGCTGGACAGAGTCTTCCTCAACCTCTCCCTCTCTCCTTGCTGGATCTAGGCGTGGGAGACGTCACCGGGCTGTACGTGTGTTGAACGCAGAGGTGCCGTCCGTTCGGCACTAGGATCTCCGGTGATTTGGATCACGACGAGTATGACTCCTTCAACCCCGTTCTCTTGAACGCTTCCGCTTAGCGATCTACAAGGGTATGTAGATGCACTCTCCTTCCCCTCATTGCTGGTTTCTCCATAGATAGATCTTGGTGATTCGTAGGAAAATTTTGAATTTCTGCTACGTTCCCCAACAAGACTATCATTTGAAGCACAAGAGCAAGGAGTTCATCATCAACACACCATTTGTTACTTCTTGGAGAGTGGTGTCTCCTAGATTGGCTAGGTGTCACTTGGGAGCCTCCGACAAGATTGTGGAGTTGAACCAAGGAGTTTGTAAGGGCAAGGAGATCGCCTACTTCGTGAAGATATACCCTAGTGAGGCAAGTCCTTCGTGGACGAGGGCCATGGTGGGATAGACAAGGTTGCTTCTTCGTGGACCCTTCGTGGGTGGAGCCCTCTGTGGACTCGCGCAGCCGTTACCCTTCGTGGGTCGAAGTCTCCATCAATGTGGATGTACGATAGCACCACCTATCAGAACCACGACAAAAACATCCGTGTCTCCTATTGCGTTTGCACTCTCCAAACCCTTCCCTTTACATTCTTACAAGTTGCATGCTTTACTTTCCGCTGCTCATATACTCTTTGCATGCTTGCTTGAAGTGTGTTAAGATTGCTTGAATTGTGCTAAGTTGCTAAAATCTGCCAAGAACTAAAATTGGGAAAAGTCTAGATTTTATTTGGTCAAGTAGTCTAATCACCCCCCCCCCTCCTCTAGACATACTTTTGATCCTACAGACGCCCTGATTGTCATAAAGTTACCACCAAGAGGTTGTAGTTTTCCTTGGGAAGTAGCCTTCTTGAGAATATGTTGTAGGGGATCGATCGCCAGAACGAAGAGAAGGGGGGATAGAGGATCTCCTTGCCTCAAGCCCTTCCCAAGCTTGATAGGGTTGCCTGGAATACCATTAAGCAAGACTCGCGAGGATGCCAAAGCCAAGAGCGTCGAAACCCAACCCCGAAAGCGCGAAGGTACTCCAAGGTGTTTGAGAAGGCCGAGGAGATAGTCCCAGCGAACAGAGTCAAAGGCTTTCTTGATGTTGAGCTTGAAAAGTAATGCTGGTGTTTTATTTCGGTGGAAACGCCTCGCAAGATTGCGCACGTACATGAAGTTATCATGTATACATCGTCGTCTGACGAATGCACTTTGCGCTTGAGATACAAGGTCGTTCATGTGTGGGGCGAGCCGGTTGGACATCACTTTGGCAATAATTTTTGCAATGGCATGAATAAGACTGATGGGTCGAAAGTCTGATACATCTTCAGCCCCATCTTTCTTAGGAATGAGAGCGATGTCCGCGGAATTGAGCCAATGGAAGTGGGTGGCATGCAAGTTAGAGAAGCAGCAAATGGCTGACATGAGATCTCCCTTGATAATGTTCCAGCATGCTTTAAAGAAAGCACCGGTGAAGCCATCCGGGTCCGGGGCTTTGTCACTAGGTAAAGCAAAAACCGCAGCCTTGACCTCCTCTTTGGTGATGGCTGCGTCCAACTCCTGAAGGTCGCAGCTTGGAGTTGGAATGGTCCCCCAATTAATGTCAATGTTGCGTGTGGGACCTTTTTTGGCGATGCTCTTGAAATGGCTATGGATCACTTGCTCCTTCTGATTATGTTCCGTGATCCAGCCAGAATTGTGCTTGAGACTATGAATAAGTTTTTTCTCCTCCGGTGATTCACCCGGAGATGGAAGTAACGGGTGTTAGCATCACCCTCCTTTAGATTGGTGATTCTGGAGTTTTGCCTTTTCCTAGATTTCTCAAGCACAACCCACGCGATGATCTTTCTCTTTAGACTTTTCCGAAGATCGTATTCCTGTTGGGAAAGCTCTCTATGATCCATAGCCATATCAAGATGCAGAATAACTTCAAGCGCCATATGTAATTGGATCTTAGCTTTTGCGAAAAGGGACTTGCTCCAGGAGCATAATCTTTGGCTAGTAGTTTTGAGCTTATGAAACAGCCTTTGGTAGGGCTCGGAATGCGCTGATTCTTCATCCCAAGCATCCTTGACCGTCTTTTGGAAACCCAGCATCTTGGTCCAATGGTTCTCGAACCGGAAGGACTTCGGTCGCTTGGGACCATCATCATTAGCGAGCAAAAGCGGGCAGTGGTCCGAAAGTGAGGAGGAAAGGGCATGAAGAATGTGATTGGCGAATTCGATGTCCCAATCCTCATTGCAAAAAAAGTTGTCTAGTTTACAAAGCGTTTGGTTGTTTCTTTCATTGCTCCATGTGAACCATTGGCGCGGTTTTTATCTCGAGCCCGGTATATTTGGTTAAAGTCGCCGTTAACCAGCCACTTTGTTCCTGGCAATGGTTTCTGAGACGACAGCTCAAGGAAAAAAAGCTTCTTTGTGAATGCTTCTAGCTGGCCCGTAGACAGTGGCAAGCTTGAAGGACCACATTGGCTTGTTTTTCGTGGCAAAGTTATATTGAAAAGTATCGAGCTGGTGCTCGGGCGTGAGGTAGTCACGTCCTTAAAAAATACTCCCTCCGTTCCTTGATGTAAGGTGTATAGATTTTTGAGAAAAAAATCTGAAATATAAGGTGTGTTACATTGCACCACTCGTCTAGATGATGTTTTTAGGGATTTGATTACATTTCCTTATATTAGTCAAGCTCCTCTATCTTCTCATGTCAATTAGTTAGGTGTAATCTCGCCCAAAACTTGTCAAATTTTCTCTTCATGCGCGTTCTTTAATTTTTGTGCCAAAAACTATACACCCTATATTTAGGAATGAAGGAAGTATATTAGAAGCACTAAAATAGCTCGGGTCGTAAAAATTAGAAAGCACTCGCTAAGCAAAAGGCAACGCTGATCGAGCGGAACCAAAGTTGTTGGCGCGCGCGGCCACGCGCCGGAGCGCGAGGGCTCCTGGCCGCCGTCCCCCGCGCCGCCTATGTATCGACGGCCGCACCACCCGCACGAGGAGCATGCGCGGGACGTAGACCCTCCGCCGCGCCACCCGCTTTCCGCCACGTACGCACGTTCCAACGCCAAAGCCACCGCACGACGCGTCGGCGTCGTCACGCGCGTGAGCCTCCCCTTCCTCCCTCCACTCTTCCAGGCCCAATCGACTTTGACCCGGTAGCTATTTGTCGCCATTCGCTATTCGTCCTACCCGCGACAGGTCATCCTTAATCGCTGTTCGTGAGCTATGGAGGAGGCGGACGTGTCGGCGCGGAAGCCCTCGGAGCCGCAGGCGCGATCTCGCACGCCATATGTACCGTGCAAAATGTGCTTGTCACGCACGGGGGGTTGCGTTTTGGTTGCATATTCCTGCACACTACGGTGAAAGTGATGTCGCAGATGCTCACAGTCGCTAGTACGGAGTTAACTGTAGCGAGTTAAGACGGGGTTTGGTTTGGACCTGTAGCTGCCTGCAGAAGGCGCCGGAGGAGTCGAGCCTCCCGTTGCGTACTGTACTGACATCGGTGAGCCGCGATGACTGGACGTAGTATAGATAGAGTATACTTAATCTCAGCCTGCCTAGCCGACCGGCCGCTGCACGAATCAAGTGCAAGCACTTACCGAAACTTGACAACGGGGTTGGATCGACAAAAAAGAAACGTCAGCTAGGTTTTCATTTATAAATACGTCAGTGTTCTTTAGCAAACGAAGAACTTGACATGAGCAGCGGTCGACTCATTCGCCAGCTTGCTCTTTGTACTCTATCTAAGCAGATTGACAGTCCACCTGATCGACTGGAGACGGATAAACAGTCCACCTGATCGACTGGAGGCAGTACAACAACACACGATTTTTGTCTAGCACAACGCACATGTATCAGTCGGCGGCCCCGCTATCTATCTTGGTCGACGCGGAGCAGCTGGAGGGACACGTACGTAACGCCAATCGAACTGGAGATAAGCTCTTCTATCTAGCTTTAACGATCCAAGGACGAAGAGAAGATATCCATGGAATTCTCCTCTCCTCTCTTCTTGCCGAGCCGTCAGTGCGTCGCCTGCACATCGACACCCTACCCAGACCTAGGGAGCCTAGCCAGCGAGAAAACGGGGAGCCTCCCCTGCCACCTCGGCATCTCTTTCCGGAGAAGCCGTGCCACCCCTGGGCCGATTGACATGGACGCTGTCGACCTAGCAGCTACAGCGATCGGCCTCCCGAGAACCGTGGCATCGTCGAACATTTCCTTCTTGAACAAAGCGTGCAGAACAAAGTTGCAAAAAATAAGAGAGAGGATAACCATTCCGTGCACACCACGTGTCCGGCCCGCGCGAGGCCCAAGTGGCCAAGTCGATCTCGAGACGGATAACCATTCCGTTCATATGCCCGCGGGCCACCGGCCCGATGCGCGACACCTGTACGGCGCGATACAGCGACGGCGGGCCTGCGCGCGGGTTTCGATCGGCGCCACGCGTGCGCGTGCGTCGCGCCGTTCTGGACCCGTATAAAACCGGCCGGCGCACCACGTTCCAAACGCCACCGATGCACGCGCTACTAGCCAGCTTGGTTCAGTGGAGTTCTGTCTCTGACGATTCGATTTCGGTACCGCGACGGCTCCGAAATGGAGAGCGACTGCCAGTTCCTGCTGGCGCCGCCGCCGCGCATGTACGCCGCGCCGGGGGACGACGGCCAGTTCCTTCAGCAGCAGCAGCAGCAGCTGAGCGGCGGCGGCGCCGGGGAGAGGAAGCGGCGGTTCACGGAGGAGCAGGTGCGGTCGCTGGAGAGCACGTTCCACACGCGGCGCGCCAAGCTGGACCCCCGGGAGAAGGCGGAGCTGGCGCGCGAGCTGGGGCTGCAGCCGCGCCAGGTGGCCATCTGGTTCCAGAACAAGCGCGCCCGGTGGCGCTCCAAGCAGCTGGAGCAGGACTTCGCGGAGCTGCGCGGCCATTACGACGCCCTCCGCGCCCGCGTCGAGTCGCTCAAGCAGGAAAAGCTCACTCTCGCCGCGCAGGTAACCAACACACGCACGCCATATATATACTCCATCCTCCATGGTCGGTCGTCGATCATTACAGATACGTGCATGCTAATGGTGTCTGCTCGATGTGCAGCTGGAAGAGCTGAAGAAGAAGCTGGACGAGCGGCAAGACCAGAGCGCTAGCTGCGGCGGCTCTTGCGCCGTCGCCGACGTAGACGACAAGAGGGATAACGTTAGCAGCTGCGTCGCGGCGAAGGATGAGAGCGCGGCGCCGGCGGCAGACGTGTCGGACGGCTCAACTCCGGGCTGGTACGAGTATGACGACCACCTGGTGTATGGGGTTGACCTGCACGAGCCGTTCTGCGCCACTCAGGAGCTGTGGGAGACGTCATGGCCGCTGGTGGAGTGGAACGCAGTGGCATGAACCAACGTTGCATATACACGTACTACGGTACATCTGTGTACGCGTTCCTATACGTCGATGCTGTTGCTGTTGCTGTCTTGTCTAGCTGGTTGATCCGGACCATGTAGATCATCAGGTCGATCGGACCGTCATGTAGAATCGTAGAACAGATAGGTAGGATCCCACATGCAAGCAGCCACGAAATCTACATGCGAGAAATCTTCCCGCCGGCCGGCCGGCGATCTGCTTCGTCGACTCCGGGATTCATGAGATCATGTCCGTGAAAATGGCTTTAGAATCACGCGCAGCGTCTCGATCCGGCGGCTGTCACTCATGTGGTTCCTGTCGCGCCGTCGCCGACGAAAGAAAAAACCACAGTTACCTGTAGAGAACGTGTTTCACCAGTTGCCCATGTCGCTCTAGAAATCCATACATTCGTTCCTGTGTTCTCCTCTGACGCGGGTGCTATTTTACTGTGGCCTGCGGGCGATGGATTGATCCAGAACGCGCGTGCGCCGGAGACGACGAGAGGAGTGTCGCTGTCGCTGTCGCGGCACCACAGGGGGGGTGATTCGTATCGTCTGTTGCTGCTTTGGACGCCACCCGGCGTGTCGAGCGTTCGTTCGTCCAGCACTGTCGCGCGCGGGGGCCAAAGACGAGAAAGAGGCAGCGGGAAAATGACGCGGGAGGCGCGGCTGTCGCCGGGGGAGAGGACGGTTCGGCGAGAAAAGGAAGTTGTGGATGCGACTCATGCGTGGCCCGGCGGCCGAATGGGTGGCGGAAACGACTCACTCACCTGGAAAACGACCGCCCGCCGCATCAAATGAGAAGCGCGCAGATGTTCTAATTGATTAAAGATTAATTTTCTTGCTAAAAAAAGATTGGGGTTTTTTACTCCTAGGTGTGGCTACACCCCTCGTGGACAGTAAATTTGACGAAAAACAAAAAATATGGAATGTTGTGACATCAATCAAATATACTCAAAACGTTTTATGTGATTTGAGGAGGTTTACACCCAAAAAAAATCACTGCTCAAAGTTTTCATCATTATTTTGTTTCTCTTGTGTATGATCACCTAGAAACATTTGTGCCTATTTGTTGACAATTGTTTTGGAATTTTTAGATCTTTTCGAATTTACTTGTTTGTGTTTTTTTTTTTGGAATTTACTCTTCACCCTAGATGTTAGTTCACCCGGGTGTAGTGACTCTTTTGCCCTCTACAAATACGGGAGCACCCATTTGCTTTGGGCGTGTTTGGTTCAAGTTTCCAACAGTAGCTGCATTGCATGTCCATCTCCGCCAGTCTGGTTCTTAAAATGCAGCCTCATATGCAGCAGATGCGACCTGTTTGGTTGCCTGCATTGCATGGAGGGGGCACTTACCCTCCTGCTGTTTAGTTGTCGTTTTTGTGCTTAGGGTGTGAGCAGATGCAAACTTCAGCTGTTTGGTTGCAAACAACATTTGTGTTCTGCTCACCCCATTCAAATGTGATGGCCTTACCACCACATGACCAGCACAACAGCAAGCACATATAAGATCAAACAAAGAAAGCAACCCAATGAAATCAAACAAAGCAAGTAAGGAAATGACAACAAACTACTTAAGATTAACAGCAGGGGCATCCTCCTTCCCTGCTCCATGCCAGGGTGCCGCTCCTGGCGAAAATATGAACAAGTTCCCAACACAAGTACCATAAGTCTAGCCACACACCATAAAAGTTTAACACTAATACCTTACTTAACTACATAGCATGCTCAATGTCACCAACGCAATTGTGCCTACTGCAACGAAATCTGCACATGACCGAGGAGTCGTGGTTGTAGATCTGAACCTTTAGTCCGAGTCCTGAGATGCGCACAACGACGAGGTCGTCGGGGACGATTCGATGGCGGCGGCAGAAGTAGTTCCAGCGTCGGCCAAGCACCATATGCCCCTCGAAGTTCTGGACCTGCACCCAAAACATGCACCGCTTGTTCTCCGATAGCCTAACCACGCGCGGGAACCGTTGATGACCAGCCAGGTGTTCATCACCTCCACGAACTTGCGAGGGACGACGAGCATGGCGAGGTCCTTGTTGTCCTTGATCTGCTGGTAGAAGCGCAGCGGCTCCCGAGCCCCTCCTCGTGGCCCTGCCTCGGAGATCATCCCCTTGAATAAGGCAGGCTCATGAAGGCGATCCTGCTAGGCAGGTCCACCGTCCTGAGCCACCTGTTCGTGGGGATGAAATCCTCGACGCGCTCAGCTCCGGCCACCACCCGAGCTCCTCCACCAGCCACATTCCAGTCACTCTTCAATATCTTGTCAGGTAATATGACAAGTATTAGTGCACAAACTCTTTGCAAAATGGGCACTTGCTGTCGGGCAAATGCCACTGATCAGTGGCACTTGTTGTTGGGCAAGTCCACTGATCAGTGGACTTGCCCAACAGCAAGTACCACTGATACGAGCAAATGCCACTGATTAGTGGCACTTGTTGTTGGGCAAGTCACTGATCAGTGTCACTGATACGAGCAAATGCCACTGATCAGTGGCACTTGTTGTTGGACAAGTCACTGATCAGTGCCACTGATATGAGCAAATGCCATGATCAGTGGACTTTCCCAACAGCAAGTGCACTATCCTAAGCATGGAAACATTTAAATATAGCAAGAACAAGTGACAATAGCACCCATGTGCACCCATGCACATTTGGCATCATCCTAAAATAGACCTACTACATGCACGTATAACAATCAACACAAAGTCTAGCATGAACGCAACTACTAGCATGAACACAGATCCTAGGACACACTAGCAGTAGCAGAAAAAATTTATCCTAGGACACACATTGTAGGAAACAAGAACAGATCGGTCCGATTGGATTCGATTGGGATCACATCCAATCGGATCTACTCGAATCTTATCTAATCCAATCGAATCCACTAACTACTATCACATGCCTAAGAAAATAAACCCCTAATCTACATCTACGAGCAAGCATTGGGGGGTTTGACTCACCGGAGCTTGCGCAGCCGCAGCGAACCGAGACTGGGGTGAAAACCTTGACGGGAAGGAGAGCAATGGTGGAGCAGAGCAGGAGCCGGCCCTGGCGACGGGCTGCGGCATCGTCCCCGTGCTCATGGCCATGCCGGAGGTCGAGGAGGACGGCGCGCCGACAGGAGAAACCCCTTGGATGGGGGTCAAGAAAACCCCCCTGCCCAATGGGGTCCCAGGAAGCGGTGGCTCCGTGGATAGCGCCGACGCCGAGCGCAAGAGCACGAGGTCCGGAATCGTCGGCGGATCAGGAACGGCCGACACCGCATTGGCCGGCCCTTGTGGTGGACGGCATCAGATGGGGGACGGTTGAAAGATCGAGGATGTCGCCTAGAGGGGGGGGAATAGGCGCTTTAAAATAATTACGGTTTAGGCTTGAACAAATGCGAAATAAACCTAGCGGTTAATTTGTCAAGCACAAAACCTACAACAACTAGGCTCACCTATGTGCACCAACAACTTATGCTAAGCAAGATAAGCAACTATGTGATATCAAGATATATGACAAAGAATAATATGGCTATCACAAAGTAAAGTGCATAAGTAAAGGGGCTCGGATAAGAGATAACCGAGGCACGCGGAGACGATGATGTATCCCGAAGTTCACACCCTTGCGGATGCTAATCTCCGTTTGGAGCAGTGTGGAGGCACAATGCTCCCCAAGAAGCCACTAGGGCCACCGTAATCTCCTCACGCCCTCGCACAATGCAAGATGCCGTGATTCCACTAAGAGACCCTTGAGGGCGGTCACCGAACCCGTACAAATGGCGACCCTTGGGGGCAGTCACCGAACCCGTACACTTTGGCAACCCTTGGGGGCGGTCACCGGTACCCGTCAAATTGCTCGGGGGGATCTCCACAACCTAATTGGAGACCCCGACGCTTGCCTGGAGCTTTACACCATAATGATTGAGCTCCGAACACCACCAACCGTCTAGGGCGCCCAAGCACCCAAGAGGAACAAGCTCAAGGGCACCAAGCACCCAAGTGTAATAAGCTTCTCAACTTGTAACTTCCACATATCATCATGGAGAACTCAAACCGATGCACCAAATGCAATGGCAAGGGCACACGGAGTGCCTAAGTCCTTCTCTCTCAAATCCCACCGAAGCAACTAATGCTAGGGAGGAAAATGAGAGGAAGAACAAGAAGGAGAACACCAAGAACTTCAAGAACTAGATCCAAGGGGTTCCCCTCACATAGAGGAGAAAGTGATTGGTGGAAATGTGGATCTAGATCTCCTCTCTCTTTTCCCTCAAAAACTAGCAAGAATCCATGGAGGAATTGAGAGTTAGCAAGCTCGAAGAAGGTCAACAATGGGGAAAGAACACGAGCTCCAAAGATTAGACTCAAAGGGGAAGAAGACCCCCTTTTATAGGAGGGGAGAAAAACCAACCGTTATCCTCTCACTCAGCCCACACGACGCGGTACTACCGCAGGGAGCTGCGGTACTACCGCGGTTGGCTGTGGTACTACCGCTGCAGGTTGCGGTACTACCGCACATGCAGCTCTGGCCAGATGAAGGCATGTTGCACAGGGCAATGAGCGGTAGAACCGCCGGAGCGGTACTACCGCGCGCCCCTACGGTACTACCGTAAGGCAGGCAACACTAGGCACAGAGAAAGCACGGACATAAAAAATTACTTCCGTACCTACTTCCGCTGAGGGAGGACCTGCGCAAAACTCCGGCACGGTACTACCGCACACGAAGAGCGGTACTATCGCGTAGGGCGCGGATGTAAAAAATTACATCCGCCCCTACTTCCGCTCATGCTGCTAAGCCTGGCCAGAGCCCATGGTACTACCGCGCTCGCGGCGCGGTACTACCGCGTAGGGCACGGATGTAAAAAAATTACATCCGCCCCTACTACCGCTCGAGCAGCTGCGTCTGGCCGGAGGCCACGGTACTATAGCTCCAACAGAGCGGTACTACCGCAAGGGCCTGTGGTACTACCGCTCCGGAGAGCAGTACTATGGCATGCCCCAGATCAGCAACACTAGGAGTCCTTCATTTTGCAAAGAAGACAACAGAGGGTAACAATAAAACCAGAACTGCCATAACTTCTGCAAATGAGCTTCGAATTGAGCAAACTCAAGCTTGTTGGATACAAGACAACGAGTAGCATCAAAACAGAGACTGGTTATAGTAAGAAGAGGCAGGGGAGGTATGCCTAACAAGAGAGGAGAGAAACCTCCAACAGAGAAGAACCGGCAGAACCTCCAACATCGAAAACATCATAGAAGATGCATGTGAACTCCGTTTTCGATGAACTCGAGCTTGTCATGAAAATGACCAAAAGCTCCAAATCTCACAAGGAGAAGAACCAAACAAGAACCAATAAAGATGATGCAAGGATGCAATGGTTTGAGCTCTCTACGAACGATACGATCAAGCAACTCATCGAGAGCCCCCCTTGATAGTACGACAATCGATCCTATAAATCGGTCTCCCACAACTACCATGAAACCGGTAAAATAGAAAACCTATCAAGGGCAAACATTTGCCTTGCACAAAATCCACTTGAGCTAGATGATGACGATCTACTCCTTCTCAAGATGGACCACCTTTCTTGATTGCGTTGGCTCGATGAAGACTAGTTGATTGCTCCCCCATACTCCACTATGGGTGAGCCACTCTTCCGCTCATCTTCACAAGTCCATTGTCACCACAATGGACGGCAAGCTTCAAGCACTTGATCTCTTCGTGATACGTCACTTGAACTTGCACACCGTAACCTAACCCCACAAAGAACTCTCACAAAGATCATGGGTTAGCACACAAAGCGTAATGGACAATGCTTACCATACCATGGGATCACTTGATCCCTCGGTACATCTTGTGTGCTTTGTGTGTTGAATCTTTCCAACTCTCTTCATTTGGATGATGTCTTGAAGGTGGACATGAATGATCATACAATCTTATTCTTCAAGACATGCTTGCAATAAGCTCAACACTCACATGACCAATCTTTGGATAATTCCTTAATAACACCTTGGTCAACTCATAAACTCCTTGAAACCAACACATGGACTTCAAGAAAAGCCTATGGACAAAACCTTCAGATATAACTCAAGGCAACCATTAGTTCATAGAGATTGTCATCAATTACCAAAACCAAACATGGGGGCACCGCATGTTCTTTCAACGGTGCTCGCAGCACCGACGTCAGGTCCCTGCCCGAGTTCTGGAGCCCGGATAGCCAACGCTCCTGGATGATGGCAATGCGCTGGTCGACGGGGGTCAGAGGGCGGCGCGGCGGTGGGCGAGGCGGAGCCAGAGGAGAGGGAGAGGTGGTGAGGCAGAGAGTGAGCGGTGGGAACAGTGCGGGCTGGGTGGTGACAGGAGAGTGGGGGGGAGTTATGAGCCGCCGCGTCTGTCTCCCGCGCTGCCCGAGGCGTGCAATCCCCCGCACGCATGGCCGCGCCGAGCCAGGCTCGCGAGAAACTGCTGATTCAGCAGTTTCCGCCGGGCCAGGCTCCAGACTGCTTTAAGTTTCGTGCGGGCCACAACCCGCATGTAGCCCAGGCAACCAAACAGGCCGCGCACATCCTGCGTGGGCCTGGTTGGGCTGCATGCGGGCAACCAAACACGCCCTTTGTCTTGCCGTGCGTTCTTGTAAGACGAAGCAACCACTGCAAGGAGAAGAAACTTGGTGCTCCTTTAATTCAAAGAAATTTTATAGGATTTTGATTCGTAGGATTGGATCTTATAGAAAAGTTACCAAGAGGTCATCCGTATTATATTTGACAGGAAATTTATCATCCACTTTAATCTCTTTTCACAGTTCATTTGTTTTTTCTATGGTATCAAACACTCTAGTTCAGATTCATTTGGTTTGCTAATCCTATAGGATTCAAGTAAACACACCACTCTAATCATGTATTTTTCGTATTCCTGCATTTTAAAATTCATGCAAATCAAAGAAGCCCTCAATGTCGTTAAGACAACGAGCCGAGCGCTTGATTCTAAATTATCATGGCATTGAAATTTTTTAGTTATCAGTTGTCAGTGTCATGCAACTCCTGTTCAACCAAAACATAACGACACGTCACACCTACTGACTGTGATGTTATGACCATGGAAGTGGAAGGCCATGCCTATTGATTGTGATGTTATTAGGATAGAGAGAGGGGGCAACTCTTATTGATAATCTGCTCGGTCAGCTAAAGTTCCTTTACAAATTGAGATGACTGAAGCTGTCGCTGAAAACCACGACTCGAAAACCCGGTGCTCTGGTTTTGGCACATTCTAGTATTCTGCAGTTCAAGTGTTCGGCCCTTTGTGTGGGCGTGATGGATTGGATGAAGCGACTGCCTGTACATTTCCATGGGATCAGTGTGAGAACACATACAAGAGGGGGTGATGGGTACATGCATGGATGAATGCGGTCGAAATACTCTATACAACATGGTGCAGTTTGATACAGCAAGCCTTCCAAATGGCAAATAAATACTTCATGTCGAAATGACAGTAAAATGGGGAGCCAGCGATGGATTACCGACGCCAATAAATTTTTAACATGTTCAGAACCTGTGCCAAGTAAAGTATGCAGGGGTAAGAAAAATAGAAAATACTCCTGTATTAGCCAACGGATAAAAAATGTATGCCAGGTAAAAAATGAAACTGCGTAATGAGGAACCAAGCAGAGAGTATACCTTCGTGTTGGTGGAGCAAGTGTAGCACATTTCAGCTGCAGAACAGCAAGTGAAGCCTAACTATGCGCATAAAACGTGCGCATCGAGTGGAAACACAATGTTACTATCCCTGCACATGTTCGGACAAGTGTGGGACTGATGTCTTTGGAACACCCTGCGGCTCATTGGCCACGCTATTCTTGCTGGTTGAGCCCGTTTCATTGTGAACATGTTCTAGAAACTCCATGACAATAGGGTCAGTCCAAGGACATCCAAATGGAGCTTCGTCGCCTGCTACCCATCCAAGATGACCACCCTCTGGTGTTACTATCAGTAGGCAGTTCGGATTTGCCTGAATCGATAAAAGAACAAGGCTAGTGACTCACTTAGGATACTAGAGAAGAACCCAAAAAAAATGAAGAGTGGATTCATGAATTAGAGTGGATACAAGCAGGTGAATAACAGGTGTGTGCTGAAATAAAAATACCTTGATGTCTTCTCTGGGAATTCCCCTGGATGGTGCAATTGGATCATTATCCGCCTGCACACGATTAAGCTAGCATTAGAATTATAATTGAAATCAGCATGTTTATGGAAGTAGTACAAAATAGATATCCTTTTGGGAGATCGTTTTGTTTTTTCTCATGCGGAAACTCGGGTAAACATGTGTCCCTCATTATAAATCACTGCCTCTAGTTTCGTCTTAATAGAGGACTAAGCGTCAGTCAGTTGGCTAGTGGTCTCTGCACTTGCACAGCCCACCGAGGTTTAACCGTTTGAGGCCTGGCCTTCCCCTATGGTGCTCGGTCGTTTCTTCTAAATAAAAATGCCACGGTTACTAGTGCCTGCTGATGAATTCTTTTTCATCTTAATGAATTGTAAACGCTCCTGCCGATTACTCAGAAGAAAAGGGAAGCACGGTAAACAGTTCGTGGTGCTTAGTTGTTTCTTCTAAGTAGAAATGCCACAGACGCTACTGCCTGTTGATTGAGTGTTTTTCGTCTTAATGAATCGGCAGCACTCCTGCCAGTTACTCGGGAAAAAAAGTATAAAACAGATGGTAGCAATTAAAAATTACTGTGCAGTCCATGAATGTGAATTGAGTCTTCCTGTTTTCCTTGTTTGCTTATTGCATGACTATACACATGTACAAGTATCGACTTGAAGCAACATATGCATATTTGAGCCATTTCGAATTATTGTTGCAGCTCCCCACACAACTGAAGTATGAACTCTGATCAATTTAAGCTTCCATTTCAAGACATTGGCAACAACAACAACAACAACAACAACAAAGCCTTTAGTCCCAACTAGTTGGGGTAGGCTAGAGGTGAAACCCATAAGATCTCGCGACCAACTCATGGCTCTGGCACATGGATAGCAAGCTTCCATACACCCCTGTCCATAGCTAGTTCTTTGGTGAATCATTCAAATATCTCCAGCTTTTATTTCGATTTTAAGATCCGACATGAATTATCATGCATTGTAATATTCCTATTTCACCATTTTAAAAACTTCAAGTAAATCATAGTTTTAAGTATGACATAATGGCGTAATCTTAAACTAAGTAATCAGATAGCTGTTGTTTCCAAATGCGCTAACGCAGCATAAAGAACTGGTAGCTTCACCTGTATGCACAATAAGGGTATGGAAACATTCTTGATAGAATCTGAGCTGCTTGAGTTGCTGTAGTAATCATCTACTGACCTGAAACCAAATGAAACTGCACACAATCGAAGTATCTTTAAGTGTGGGGTCAATAGAAATAGGTAAAAAAAATCAATTCAGCTTGAGTTCAATGCAAACCTCGGGTTAGGCCTTCATCAAAATCTCTAACAGTTTTTGCATTGGCTGCCTTTGGTATGTCATATTCACCATCCAATCCTTCAAAAAGAAGTGCATGCCTAAAATTTGATGAAGTTCCTAAAATTCAGCTGTTAGAAAAGGAGCGTGAATATTACTTAGATTGCAGGAAAGGTAAACAAAAGGTTTACTTCTTAAATATAGCCCTCAGAGAGTTAGCAAGTGCTCTATCATAGATGTTGTTGAACCCTTTGTGGAAATCTTCATCTGCTATGACCAAATTAAACGGATTGCACATGGACACTGCTCCAGAAAGGGAGCATTTATCAGTCTCCTGGAAAAAAGAATTATTGAGTTAAGTTATGGACAGTCAAAGGAAACAGACCTCTGAAAGCAATTTTATATAGTAATAAAAAGGAGCCAGTACAATGCTAAGCACTTTGATTAACATTGATGGCCACAAAGAAAAGTGGCACACATTGTCATAGGTGGATTAATTAAGCATCATTGCTACTTAAGGACTTTTAAGTAAAACATATAACTTTATTGAATATGACAATGTGGGAGGTAAAAAATGGTCTGACATTGTGTAAAACTGTAAACTTCTTAATAACTGAATACAGAGCTCACCTCGCCAAGGTAGCGCACAAGAATATTTGCTCCAAGAGACCAGCCAGCAGCATAGATATTAGATTGAGGATAACGGGATAAAACATGATCGACTACTTGACGGAGATCTCCAGTAAATGAAGCAGAATAGAACTGTGCATGACAGAAGATAAGAGTCAATAGATTTAGAAAGTAAGATGTTTTTGTGTAGTTTCTACTAATTTGTTTTTGGAGCAGCTATCTTCTTCAATCTTTATATTTCTCTGCCTGGTTATGTTATGGACACTCTGTTGCTTCCTACGTCTCCTCCACAAGATTCATACACTGATCACTGAGTACCAAGACCTATGCTGATGATCAGAAAAAATGGTGTCCACACTCAACAGACAATATTTCAATATGCCTGTACTAAAGATTAGGTCAGCCATCCTAAGAGATGCTAATAAGTTTAAGGATACAAGATATACTATTCCTAAGGGTAAAAAGATAAGAGGAAAAACATATGCATGCAAACCTAATAGCCTATTTTCCTTAAGCCATTGTCTGAGTACCAAGTATAGCCTCGAGAACTGGACATTATTTGTCATGAGATTCATGCCAGTCAGCAGGTTTGTGGGCCATATAGTACCGCAATGGCCCATATCACACTGCTAAGAAAAGCTCAAACAACCTAGCAAGTACTGAAGTGCAAGCTGCATTATCACAATGGATGCAAATTAACATGAGATTGCTTTCCATACGACTTGCCACTAGCTCTATTTCTGGTCTTTGTTGCAGGAAAGAAAATGGAGAAAACAAAGGCGCACTGCAGGCAGTGAGAGAATGGCAGCTACCAGCAAAAGGAATAGTAGGACCGGTGTGTTGTTTTCTTTTGAGCGGCACATTTACATGTTTTTTCTGCTTCCTTGGCTTATGTTAATTGTCTGGATGATAGTCAAGAGGCTTGCTATATTGATGCAAAGCAACTTTTCTGGTACAATTTATCTTTTGCTTGCAAATGCTACTTAATTGATTAGGAGCTATGTTGTGTACTAGGGCTAGGGAAAGGCTCTCGGCCCCTGTGGGCAAGATAGAAGAACTATTCTTCTAATTCTTGTTTGCCTTATTCCACATACGGGGGTCCTATTTAAGGTTCAAGCTAAAAGATACTCCCTCCGTTCCAAAATACTTGTCGTGGTTTTAACGGAGGGAGTATAATCCTAATTCAAATGATAAACTTCCTAACGAAGAGATCACGGAGGTCCTATCCCCAACTTGGTGCTGGGTGTGCCATCTACTTGTTGAAGTGTATATGTGGATTGCCTAGCCCTTTCCATCAGTTCGGACTTTTGGTTGCGTTGGCTACTGCATGAAGCTTAATAGTACTATACGTAGATAACAAGCTATAACTAACTTTGCTGCATATCAGGAATGCGATTCAAGTACCTTCGCTGTGGTCACAGGACTACTTGCACATCCACGGCTATTGAATACCACAACACGCCATCCTTTGCTTCTAGCTCTCAAAAGCATATGTCGTACATATGTATCCTGACTGCCCCCTGTCAGACCAGGCTGCCAATAACAAACCTCCAGCATCAAGCATTAGCCATAAGCTAGTTAATAACTGTACGTACATGAAAATACAAGTAGAACAGTACACATAGTACTGCAGATAGCTAGATAAGATGTACAGGAAGACAATATGTTAATGTCAATAGTCATCTATGCTGGAAGCAAAATTGACTTTGACATGATAGATGCAAAACATGAATTTAGCATGAAAAAGTGTCCGTTATGTGTTATTTTCAAAACTGTATTAAACTTCCTATACTTTGTTGGCATCGTTTAGTTTTCTTTTTAACCGATTAGTAGCAAAATGCTTGGCTCTTCACATCTTTTGCTGAGCAGTCAGTCGAGTGCTTAATAAAAATGCAAACTTATAATGTCCATGGCATCCTTTTGCTTTTCTTCAGTTGAAAGTTATGCAATATTTTTCCTTATTTAATTTGCACAACACTCAAATAGTTAGTGATGTTATGCTAAAAATTACATCGGTCTAATATGGTCATGATGAATAATGTCACTGGCAGGAAATAGAACTAGCGTATCAGATACAGGCAAACTCCGTACACAAGAAATACAAAAAATCCAGCAGAGATTTCCAGGTGACAAGTCCCCCCCTAATTAGACCATTGGCAGATTAATGTGGCCATGATGAATAACGTCACTGGCAGATTAAGAAATAGAACTGGCGTATCAGATACAGGCAAACTCCGCACACAAGAAATACAAAAAATTCCAGCAGAGATTTCCAAGGTGACAAGTCCCCGACCATTGTGAGGAACAAAGGTCAAACGTTTCCAATCATGATATTCATATGTTGCATGGTTCATCAGGTATTTGTTGCCTGACCTGTCATCTTTGTAAGTATAAATGCCCACTGCTAATGTTTAGCCATGATGTTACTTGGAATATCATATACAGTTGGAATCAAATTATATTTCATTCTCCATGTGCTCCGGTAGATACCCTTATATTTCACCTAAGATCTCTTCACCCGACGACATGAATCTATTTACAAACTGAACTTCCGGATTTAATATCTCAGGAATGCACTGCTCAACAGCACAATTAAATCCTCCTACGCGGAGATGAGAAATCATCTCAGAACTAATCAAAAATGGCATCACATCCTCTCATTTCAACACAGCCAAGTTACACACGGTTCTCGGCCACAAGGCGAAAGTAAAATTTAACCAATATTGCGGCATAATCTTCGCTACTCTTATTCACTCAAATACGTCTACAGCGCCATACGTAACTCTAGAAAGGTTTCTACAACTGATCCGAAAACGAACCAAATCCAACCTCACTGGCATTTTTTATTTTTTTTGAGAAACCTCACTGGCATCGATGACACTAACAAAATGTCACACTTTCGTTGTGTCCTCTTTACAACATCAGGAGAAGGAAAGCGACGCCATACCAGAAGGATTAGCACAGGTGCGTCTCCCGGCAACGCGCGGTCGTCGCTGGAGACCCAGTCGAGGGCGACGGCTCCGTCGTCAGGGGTGCGTAGGCATTCGCGCCGGAATGCCACGGTGGGGAGCGAGCGCGTGAAGGCCGCGAAGATGGTCTCGACGTGGCGGTTGGACGCGAAGACGGGGAAGGCGCGGTACGGGCGGCGGAGGCTGTCGAAGCCAGCGAGGAGGCCGCGCCGCGCGCCGGCGATCTCGAGGCTCGAGTGCGGGAGGAGAGGCTGCTCCCCGTCGCCGTCGCGGCTTCGAGAGGAAACGATGGAGGAGGAGAGAGACATGGTGGTTGGTAGGAGTAGATAGCGGAGGCGAGGGACGAAGCGGCGGGCGGTGCCGGCGAATGGGGAAGGCGTTTGTAGTGCGGCCATCAGATTCGCGCCTGCAGTGTGCACTCGGGTTTGGAATACACTTCTCGCTTCTTTGGACAGCTAGGAACCCATGAGCCAGTAGGAATTGTGGTTGGGTCGTTGACACGTGGGGAAAAGGATGATCAAGGAATCAGGAGACTTTTTTTCTGGATCAATATATAGTCATGGCAGCATAAAGAACATCAAAAACAACATCAAAGATCACCAAGCAATGACTACAAATACTAGAGCGAGCCGAAGACGCGCTACGCCGCTGCCATCAAGTCATCATGCTAAGACCCCAAGAACAGCACACCAAAACAATAACCGCAAGCGATGAAGAGAACCGTAGATCGAAAGAATCAAACATGTAGATACACAAATGCAGACGAACGAAAATCGGTCCCATTAGATCCACCGAAGACAAACGCCAATCGAATTATATGGAGTCCATCGAATATACACCTCCACACGTCCTCTAACAACACTAGACGCACCGCCATGACGGAGACTAAACAGGGAGAACCTTATTCCGTTTTCAGGAAACCACACGCACGGGCGCACGACCTTCTTGAGTGGGGCACAAATCCTAAACGAACACAAAGAAGATTTTAAAAACGAAGCAGAGCTCTCAGGCTAGCAAGGATCGAGATCCACAACGCCTCATCGACCTAAGGGCACTGGAGACAAGGCAGACCTGCGTCGGCACATCTAGGAGGCGAGAACCCTAATCGTCTGAGTCACGGGAGCACATGATCAGAAAATTACGTTGTTTGATGCAGACCAGGAGACGTCGACGACCACAATCCGCGAAGCAAATCGTTGCCCCGAAGAAGATAACGCCGATAAGGGCTTGTAGAAACTCTGAAGACCATGAAAGACGACCAAATCCAGATGGATCCATTGAAAGTGTAACTGACCAAATGACGAAAGACCCGTCAGAGACACAAAACCACACCCCCTCCGCCGATGATAAGCACACCAACTAAATGAGGATAGGGCGGGGAAGACAATTTTCTAAACTCAGAAGCGCTGCCGCCACACCATCCCAAACCAAACACAAGACCCCCTAAAAAAATCTAGAAAACATTACCCGCGTCATTGTACGCCAATTCTGGACCTGAGATCAAACTTGTCGCCGACTATAGGCATGAGTTGAGCAGTCTTCTCCAGTGGCCTAGCCTAGTCGGGTTGTCGTAGAAGCTCACAACACTAGATCCGTCCAGCCAGCGGCGGCTTCACGAACGCCGTTATCGAACACCGCTTGACGGAGGCCTCCACACGAGTCCTCATCTCCTTGTTGAAAGGATCTAGATGACAACTAGGGGGGTGAATAGGCGTTTTAAAACTTTTATGGATTTTGCTTTATCCTAATGCGGAATTAAACTAACGGATACCTCTCAAGCACAAATCTTAAATATGCTAGGCTCAACTAAGTGCACCAACAACCTACGCTAAACAAGATAGGCACTTGAGCAAACTAGCAAGCACAAACTATATCACAAGATATGGAAATGTAGGAACAACTAAGCAATTCAATTAGCACAAGATATATCAATATGAGCAAGTATGAATTGAGGAAAGTAAAGCGTGTGAGTATGAGATAACCACAAGCGAGTCGAGAACGCGGATTTATCCCGAAGCTCACACTCGTGAGAGTGCTAATCTCCGTTCGAGTGGTGTCGAAGCCAAAGCTCCGGGCGTCACCAAGTGACTTGCCATATTCTCCCTTCCGAGTCACCCCCAACGGACGAGCCTCGATTCACTCGGGGTTGGTCTTGAAGGCGACCACCACACCTTTACAATCTTCTCCGGAGCACACCACAAACGCGAAAGCTTCCGGAGGAACTTCACCACCTAGGCCAAAATGATGTTTAGAAAGTGTATAAATAACTGCCAAACCGGTGGGGAGGAAGGGCTCTGATACGTCTCCAATGTCTATAATTTATGAAGTATTCATGCTCTTATATTATCATTTTGGGATGTTTTACAATCATTTTATAGCAACTTTATATCATTTTTTGGGACTAACCTATTGACCCAGTGCCCAGTGCCAGTTGATGTCTTTTGCTTGTTTTTTACATCGCAGGAAATCTATATCAAACGGAGTCCAAACACCGCAAAACTTTTTGTGGATTTTTTATGGACCAGAAGACATCCAATGGGCCAGAGCAGCACCTGGGGGGTGCCCCGAGGGGCGCACAACCCACCAGGGCGTGCCTGGGGGCCCAGGCGCGCCCAGATGGGTTGTGCCCACCTCGGTGGCCTCCCGCACCCCCTCTTTGCCTTATAAATCACTAAATATTCCAAAAACCCTCGGGGTAACCCTAGATCAGAAGTTTAGTCGTCGCAAGGCTCTATACCCACGAGAAACCAATCTAGACCCCGTTCTGGCACTCTGCCGGAGGGGGGAATCATCACTAGTGCCCATCTTCATCATCCCGGCGGCCACCACGATGAGGAGGGAGTAGTCCACCCTCGGGGCTGAGGATTTGTACCAGTAGCTATGTGTTTAATCTCTCTCTCTCTCTCTCTCTCTCTCTCGTTCTTGAGATGTCACGATCTTGATGTATCGCGGGCTTTGTTAATATAGTCGGATCATATGGCGTTTTCCCCTCTCTATATTGTTGTGATGAATTGAGTTTTTCCTTTGAGATTTTCTTGTTATCGGATTGAATACGTTTATGGATTTGAGAGCACTTGATATATATCTTGCATATGAATACTCGTGGTGAAAATGAGGTATCATATTGATTCACTTGATATGTGTTATGGCATTCAACTCGCGGATTCCCGCGGTGACATTGGGGTAATCTATGCATAGGGGTTGATGCACGTTATCGTCTTTTGTTTCTCCGGTAGAAATCTTGGGGCACTCTTTGAGGTTCTTTGTGTTGGATTGAGTACGAATTTTTTTGGTGTTATTTTAGTATGATCTCTTGGATAATCGATCGGAAAGAATAGCTTTGAGGTGGTTTCGTACCCTACAAATGATTTCTTCTTATGTTCTCCGCTAGATAGGAACTTTGGAATGATTCTTTGTTGCACGTTGAGGGATGGTTATATGATCCAATTATATTAGCATTGTTGAGAGATTGCACTAGTGAAACTACGGACCCTAGGCCTCATTTTCAAGCATCGCAATACCGTTTTTGTGCCCGTTTACTATTTGCTACCTTGCTGTTTTATTTATTCAGATTATAAAAATATATTTCTACCATCCATATTACACTTTTATCACCATCTCTTTGCCGAACTAGTGCACCTATACAATTTGCCATTGTATTGGGTGTGTTGGGGACACAAGAGATTGCTTGTATTTGGTTGGAGGGTTGCTTGAGAGAGACCATCTTCATCCTACATCTCCCATGGATTGATAAATCTTAGGTCATCCACTTGAGGGAAAATTGCTACTGTCCTACAAAACTCTGCACTTGGAGGCCCAACACGAGTCTACAAGAACAAGTTGCATAGTAGACATCAAGCCCTTTTCTGGCGCCGTTGCCGGGGAGGTGAGTGCTTGAAGGTATATCTTTAGATCTTGCAATTGAATCTTTTAGTTTCTTGTTTTATCAGTAGTTTGGTTTATAAAAAGAAAACTACACAAAAATGGAATTGAGGTTGCATCATATTTATAATATATTTCTCGAAAATGATGGATCGGAAAATTGTGCTCAATTGTTAGAAGAAGAAGTCAATAAAATGTTCGGCACAAAATATTTGAATGATGAGCATGATTGCAATGTTGTTAGTATGAATTCTTTGAATTTCCAAAATGCTAATGATGATTGCACAAGTCATGACAAAAATGTTTCTTATAAGCATGTCAATTTTTGTGGAGTGCATAAAGTTTGTGAAGACGTGCCTTATAGGGAAGATAGATTTTGCAAGAAGCATAAGCATGATAGAACCAATTCTTTGCTCAAAGTGATAGATGAACTTGCTACAAAATTATGTTGTCTTTGTCCTATTACTTGTGAACTTTGCAATAAGGATGGTCATCTTAATTTCCAATGCATGCTTTTTCATGATTGAATCGTGTCCAAATATTGCAATAACTTGATCACCCTAGAACTTTATAATGAACTTTATTTATTTTTGGGGAGTGAAGAATTGACACATAAAAATAGTTGGTTTGAAGTATTCATTATCACGGACGACATTGAAACTATAAAAAAGTATCTATATGTTTTGTGCAGTAAATTGCATTGAGAATCCTTATATTGCCAACTATCTAAAGACAAGAAAACAAATAGAATATGAAGAGAGTACTAATGAAAGGGAAAATATTTTCCAATACCCTCCTAGTGTTTATTATGATGAATTAGGTAACGAGGAGGAGCTTCCTATCCAATCAATCTCTTCAAAAAGAAGCTTGAAAAATTAATTAAACCCACACATGGTGTGGTGAAGAAGAAGAAAAGAAGAAAGAATAGAGGTAAAAAGGTATCTCTCCCAAATAATGTTGATCCTATCATTGTTGTGCCTCATGAAAATGAATCAAAAATAATTGTGGAAGATGATGCACTTATGATGATATTGCTTCTATGTCTTATGGCACAATGTCCGAGAGCACCATTGATGATGATTTTGTTATGCCTATTGCTTTTTGTGATGATTATGATTGGGAAGATAATGATACTTCTTATAATCTTGGAAATCTTTGTGGCACCAACTTGGGAAATTATGATGATAGCAATTGTTATACCATTGGTGCTATTCATACTATTAATGATGAGAGTGATTATGCTTATGATATGCCAAGCCACAAGCTTGGGGATGCTATGTTTGATGATAATGACATGTTTGAGAATTTATTTGCTGCAATTAATGTTTGTCCCAAGCTTGGGAGGCTATGTGAGGGAGTCCTGGATTAGGGGGTGTACGGATGGCCGGACTATGACCTTTGGCCGGACTCCCGGACTATGAAGATGCAAGATTGAAGACTTCGTCCCGTGTCCGGATAGGACTTTCCTTGGCGTGGAAGGCAAGCTTGGCGATATGATATGAAGATCTCCTCC